TCTGGTAGTGGTCTTGGTAGATGTCCAAGACAATTCAAATCGTGGCTAAGTGAGTAGTGAGTTCAGACTCAAAAGTAGTAATGTAAGCAAGTGTCATGGGTGGTCACTGGGGTGTGTCCTTGACACGACACAACAACACTAGCTACCCTCCCACCCCCGCCCCCCCCCCACAACACTAGGACCCTGGCGACCAGCAAGGGCATGCTCGTGAAATTGTTCTGTTTTGGTTAAATTTTATGCATTTATGTAAACATTTATAATAATTATTATTTATTTATGAATGCATGTTTGCCATTGAAACCCAAATTTCCACAAGGGGATCAATAATATAATGTAATTTATTAATATTAAAATTTTATTATTATCTCTTCTTCTTCTTCTTCTTCTTCTTCTTCTTCTTCTTCTTCTTCTTCTTCTTCTTCTTCTTCTTCTTCTTCTTCTTCTTCCCCGTTTGGACTTCTCTTTTGACATCCACCCCTTGGCGCTTATATGACCAAAACTAATGCATTTGCGAGCTCCGTAAACACCATACTTAAACAAACAGAACAAAGCATCTACATGTACACCACGTGGGATGCGCACAGACTTTGCTAATTTTGAGGCGTTGATTGCGAATAATAATATCACATTAGAATTGTCATCGAACTAAAAAAAATTGTTTTAAAGCTGTGGCAGGGCAAAAGGCTGAAGACTCACCACATAGTCCGATTAAAACAACGCTTGCAGCATTCCAAACGACACGACTTTTGTAGGGAGAATTCGTCTCCTTTCGGTGAATTCGCGACCTTAGAATTACAAAGTTCTATCACCACATTTTTAGCTGTGTTGTGTTACCATGACCATGAGGTAATCGAACAAATTTTCTAGAACAAAAGGCTCTATAACAATTGTGACATTATTCGGAGTCGTTATAGAGATATTCAAAGAATTGCATTTGAAAATACTTAACATGTTATAAAACTAAAAATCTTTAAAGTTAAATATTTTTAAAAACGTTGTGCTGAAAAAATGGAACTTTGTATTTCTAGGGTAGCGAATTCTTGAATACTTTTGCTAAAGAAAATTAACATAATGCTCCATTTTAAATATTAACTTCCTGAGAAACGGACGATTTTTGGGCAAACGATTTCTGGTTTGGTGGGCACGCAGCATTGTCGTGTTTTGAGATTTCGCTGCGGCAGATACAAACTTTACTTTTCTTACTTTTTCATTCTCTGTTTTCGTTAAGGGTCGAGGGGAGATGCAGTTTTCTATGGTTGGTCAGCTCTGCAGCTCTTTCAATTGGAATATCATAATGTCTCAGGGTTTTTTGACTCCCTCAATCCATCTTATGCGTGGGCTTCATCTTACTTTATATCCGGAGTACGGTACCTGGTGTTATAGACTCTCGAGGATGGCTGGCAAGGTGACAATCATAACAGATGGCCTAACCATTTATTTTAATCCTCTGTTTTTCTATGAAACTCAGTAATAGTCGCTCTAATTTCTTAATTTCTCTGCCTGTATCTTCTTGCGATGCTAAAGGTTTTGCGGAGACACTTCATCTCGCATGTAGTAATTTTATTTTCATGGGTTTAGCCACTAGAAAAACAAACAAACAAAACAAACAAACAAACAAAGATACAAAAGAAGGTTTCTACCATCTGGAATAAAGCTGCTGCTGAAATAAACATTACTGTGAATTGCTGTTGATTTTGTCTTCGAGCCGTTCTCTGCTGTCCTGTCCTGTCAGCCCACCCTTTCACCCTTTCACCCACACGGGAGCAAGAGACGAATTTAGTGGTCAAAGGGAACTAATCTAAATAAGACAGTAATAAATATTATCGTGCATGATACGAATGTTTTCCCTTTTGAGCGTAGGTACCGATAAAACACATCGATGTCAAATAATGATCTTTATCTACCAAAAGTATTTATTATTTGCTATGGAAACACAATACATATCCAAGTGAGGCTTTTAACACAAAAAAAGGCGTTTGTCTTTTACGACAGAACTGGGTTATCCTTCTGGCTTTAAGTTGTATGATTTGCTAGTTTAGGACTTTGTAGGCAAAAATCATGCTGTTACTTTTCATATTTGAAGCAATGATGCTATTTGAATTCTTCTTCGTGTGTCACATTTGCACAGGAAATTGGTATTGTCTTCTGATTGCTGTAATTTCTTTCACCTGTCTGAGCTACAAATCGCTACCTCAGAATTATAAAGTTTGATCATATATTTTTGGCCAATTTGAGCAATTTATAAGACTTTGAGGCCAAAAACCAAATGTTCTATCTGTTCTATCAAAATCATACAATAATTATTAGGAGTCATAATCAAGATATTCCAAGAATTGCATTCTTAAAAGCTTGTCATGTGTGAAGCTGAACATTTTTTACATCTAATTTCTTAAAACTAGATATTGAGCAGTTAGTACTTTGGGATTCCAAGGCAGCGTATATGTCTATTGCGCTGTTTGTGCAAACGACAAGAGTTTTTCCTCTTTGCTTGGGACGTCGGCTCAATGCTACCATCTCAAGAGTTAAAGGCAGTGTTACTTGTATAGCTTGCTCACTGTCGTCTGACGGCGGTTAAAGTGGGATAAAAGCAAATAGCTCTATTTAATCTCTCTGGGTCTTTGCATACGGGTCTAAAAGTTTAACGACCAACAGAATCTAACATCCCATTCATAAAAATCACTGCTAACTAAGGTTCTGACACCTTTTCATTGATGTAAGCCTAAAGCGGGTCAAAAAAATAATAGGGGATTTACAGCACACACGTAAAACATTTAAAAGTTGACATATTTTCCTCAACACCACTCTTTAATGTTTGCCAAAAGAAACACGATTCGAGAGATGGGCTGAGTATTTTTTGAGGCTCACCTTGAGCACGTGAAGACGTCAAGACAGCCGAGGGATGAAATTTACAAGCTTGCACTGAAATGTGTGGGCAGCCACGTCTGTGGGGGCTGTTCCCCCTGGAAACGACCTCGTTGAATCCGAGCTTGCTGATTTAAGTGCTCTTTGAATCCGCGTTTAAAAAAAATTGATTTTAAAGAAGGAAAAAAAAAAACGGGGAATCTATCTCCTCTCGTTGAATCCGAGCTCGTTAAATCAGAGTTCCACTGTATTTGGCAACTTGGAAACACATGTGTCACTTTTCTCTGAAGATTTATTGCTCCATTCCACATTGGTTGGGGGTGGTGTCATAAATAAAAATATGTGTCTGTCTTAGTGCGTTTCCAACTGGAATGTTAAAACATAGCCAAGTCAAAATAAATGGTGTTCTAACCTTTCTTTGTATACGTTCATGTTTATACTCTCTTTTTTCTTTTAAATGTTATTCGCTGTTTTAAGTTTATTTCGATCGTTCAATTTGAATGCCTTCTTCTTCTCATTTAGTATTTTTTTAAAGTCCTTGCTTACCCATCGCTTATTGCTTGGGTAGCAAGTAGCTTTTTTTTTTTTTAGATGAATGTAGATCTTCACAAAACCTGATGTAACCAGCTATTGTTTCACATTCTTCATCTGAACTATTACATGTATCTTTAAAAATATCCCAGTCTGTACATTCACGGTATCCACTGAGGCTTTCCCTCTTTTCTTCACTCTAGATGAAGACAGCTATTTTTTATTGGCCATGTCTGTGCGGTCACTTTGAATCGTCTCTTTAGCATGTGTATGTGTGTGTGTGTGTGTAATTGTGTGTGTGTGTGTGTGTGTGTGTGTGTGTGTGTGTGTAGGTGTGTGTGTGTGTTTATGCGTGTGTGTACGTGCGTGTGTGTCTGTGTGTGTCTGTGTGTGAGCGTGTGTGCGCGTGTGTGTATGTATGTGTGTGCGTGCTAGTGTGTGTTTGTGTATGTCTGTGTATGTTAATGTGTGTGTACATAGGAACATATGAATAATTTTATGAGCTCAGATGTCGCTTGAATGATGAATTTCAATATCGATCGAAAGCACATACAGCATAGTCGTCGTCGGCGTCGTTGTTATTGTTGTTGCTGTTGTAGTTGTCGTTATTGTTGTTATTGTTAGTATCATTGTGACAGGATCCCAGATTATTACATAATGATCCCGCCCCCCCCCCCTCCAAAAAATCCCACGAGGAGAAATCCTACATGTCTTGCACGTTGTGCTGTGTTTACTTAACAGACAAACGACAGTGGTCGGATAGGGAAGAGAGCTCTGGCCTAGGAGGTTGTAAAATAATAATAAGATTTGTATAGCAAAAATTCTCGCTGAACAGCAAACTCTGAGAGCTTTACAATCTATATTATTACCTCAGCAAACATGCTAGCATTCTGAAACATGACATTCTCAATTTTATGGGAAGCTTACAGTGCAAGCTGCCATGTTGTAGGCGCTAAAGCACTAACAAACTGACAAGATCTTTTGCTGTCTTTGGCTGGGTACCCATTCCCACCTAGGTGAAGTGAAGAAAATTCGTGTAAAATGTCTTTTCGAATGACACAACGCCGGGCCTGATGCTTGAACCCCCGAGCCCGCAACCTCAATATTGCGAGTCCGGTAGCCTGAAGAGGTCCTTGTTTCTAGCTAATAGAAAATGTCAGGCAATCTGTGTAACAGGGCATTAGGGTAGGTGGTCACTGGAGGATGCCCGCCAGAGCAACAGATAACTGTGAAGCCCATCGGTTAAGATGAGACATGCCCCTTTGAAATCTGGAACCATAATCATTTTGATACTTTCTAATCTAGTTCGCGGGATATCATAATTTTATTATCATGGCTCACAAATTATATCCCCTACAATCTAGAAGACTGGCTCTAAGGTTACCCCCCCCCCTTTCCACCTCCTCCTCCCCAGTACACGCACATATCTTTCTATTTGGCATTAAACCCCGGAACCAACGAATTTTGAGTCCTAACAAGAAACATTGAAGGAATTATAAGCTGTTTACCTACATATCTCGTAAACATTACAGAGATCATAGCGTCACTTGCAGACGGTGGAATGGAAAAATAAAATGTATCAGAAGACTATTACTAATGAGCAAAACTTTGTGAAAAACTTTTTTTTTAAAGTACAGTTTTGACAAACAGATTGAAGCAATGACAACGTATTGTGTCAGACCAGACAACTATTGTTTGTAAGTTTGGACTAAAGTTTTGATGAAGTAGATGGCAGTCACCAAGTCGGGGATGATGATGGCGCAGAAGACCAGAGACAACATGACGATGGCCCCTGCACCAGTAGACATGCTGGACGTCCGTTCATCGGGTGCTGACATCACTTTTCTCACGGTAGACGAGAGGTGGGAGTGGTCCACGCTCAAATTCCGTTGAATGTCTGACGTCACTTCTTGTACTTCTTCCAAAGAGAGTTCCACACTAGTTGAATTGGCGATGCACTTACATTTACAGAGTGAGTTGTGTGGAATAACGGTCAGGTTTTTTGCTGTGCTAGGAGTCCAATTGTGATTGATGTCACCCGCGAGACAACGGTATACGCCCTGGTCTTCATTTTCGAAATTTAAAATCTTAAAAGTGGATGCAGCTCCTTCACCGAATGTGACGTCATCTTTCTGCCAACGGAACCTGAGATGCATGGGATTGTGAGATTGACAAGAGAGTTTCACCAGAGTACCTTCAGGAACGTTCGTTAGCGATGAGATCAGTTTTGGTATGGACGTATTGATGGACACTTCCAAAGGGCTGCTTGTTAAGGTAGTGCCATCGAACAGTTTCAAGTCACAGGTATAGTTGCCTTCGTCACCGTCTCCAAAATGTGAGACACTTAGTGTGTCTACAAGTGCGTTCGCCACCGGACCACCATTCAGCTTCCATGTAAAGTTAGCAGAAGTCGGTATTGGAGACGAACAAAAGAGTTCAACGTTTTCCCCAGGAAATGGTGCTGTCTTGTTGGTGAGAATACGTGGTGTGGAGTCAGCAAGACTCAAGGTTACAACATTGCTGAATGGGGATGAGGCCTTGTTTACTTTTGTTTGACATTTGTACGCCCCCATGTCCGCTGAGTTTACGTTGTCCAACTGAAATGTCGAAGTTTGCATCGTCCTAATCGCACTGCCGTGGGACAAGAAGTAGTTACTAACTCCCACGTCCGAAGTTTTGCACGTCAATGTAACGGAAGATCCCCACATCACCATTGTGACGTCAGCGGACAAAGAGGGAGTGGCAAGATCCTTTTCCTGCAGGGTGACGTTGTTGCTTTGTTTTGACCTCACATCCCCTATCTCTGAGAAACACGAATAGTTTCCGGCATGATCGTCAGGTGTGAAATTAAGCAGCTCGAAATTCTCAGTCGAAGGAAAACGGGCTGTCGTACTGTGTGGCGTTTGCCAGAAGAATTTGTCCACTGGGTCATTGCTCTTACACGTGAACTCCACGCCACCACCTTTGGCTACTTGGAGAGTCTCTCTGGGCGTGTCGCCGGCCACTCTGGGCAACGCGTAGATAGACAACTTTGGGGTAGATATAACAAAATGGAGATATATGTCATTACTGTCAGGGGAGAACAGACCTGACGCAGTATTCTGAACTTGACAAGTGTACGAGGCATCGTCACTGGGCAAGAAACTGGCGACGTGAAGATTCGATTCTTTGTGTTCGATAATTTGCCCGCTGTTTTTCTTCCAGGAAAAGGCAAGGTTATTGTTATCATGTGTTGGCGGGGTGCAGGTCAAGGTCACATTCTGCCTTGGCGGCACAGGAAGGTCACGTGATACGCTCAGTTTGGGCTGACCTGGAAGAACTGATAGGGTGAGTTGGACATCGTTGCTAAGCGCTGACTCCAGCCCTGACACCACAACACTGCACTGGTATTTCCCCTCAGTCGTTGCCAGTACATTATCAAAATTAAATGTCAGCCCCACGGTGTCCAAAAGGAAATTCCCGTTCTGGTACCACTTGAATTTTTCAACCGTCCCCTTGCCTTTGTAAGAGCAAGTCAGATTGGCTCCGATTAAGTTCCCGCCTTTGGGAACTATCTTTAGCGACGCTTCCGGGGTGGATGGAACCTTGACGCATTCATAGCCAGTGCCTAGCTCGTTGACACAGCGTTCTTTACTGATGTCACAGGTATGGGTTCCTTTCTCGCATTCATTCTCATCCGCACAAAGATGCCGGAATTCGTTCTTGCAGCAAGTGGAATGCAACTGAATTGCATTGTTGTCAGCGACTTTGATGACCGCCACACAAGATTCGGAGCATTGCACAACTTCATTCAAGTTCTGGGTTTCAGCTGGATCGGCAAAATGAGATGGGTCGATGTTCTCTTTAGCCCAGCTAATGACACCTGCCTTGGCCTGTAGTAGATATGATTATTGTTAGTTTTGGTTAATGCTTTCTTTTGGGTACTTGTGACACTATAAGGTCATTTGAGTGTCGAAGATAAGAAGCATTATAAGAGAGTAACGTATAAACAAAGAAGAAGAAGAAGAGATAAGAACAATAGTTGTTTGGTAGGAAAAAAAGAACAAACCCCACCACAGCACAAGCCAACCATGCCATGTGGAAGAAACACAAATCAAACGATACACACATGTATTCAAAAAGCATGTGAAGACTACAGGTTAAAAAGCCCCCAACAATTAAAAAAACCCAAACAAGCCCCCTCCCATCTTCTACAAAATAAACAAAGCAACAACAACAACAACAAGAACAATAACAACAACAACAACAACAACAGGTCTTTATTTGCGAAATAGAAGAAAGCCAGAAAGGTGTAGGGGCTGCGAAAGAAAAGAGGGGTAATATAACGTCCGAAAAGACCAACAAGGGAATTAGATGTACGGACGATAGGGGAAGAGGAAGACCAACAAGGGAAGTAGATGTACGGACGATAGGGGAAGAGGAAGACGAAACGTTAAGGAAGTGAACACAGCAGAGAGTAATAATATTATGTTGCACAAATTCTTTCACAGAGCGAGATCACACAGCCACAAGCGAAGCAGCTCTTCGTCCCCGGGCAATGGTGATCAGCCGGAGAATGAGCAGGTGCGGACAGAGGGAGAGCAGCAACAAAGACAAGAGGACGCAGTAGAGAAGGGATAGGCTCGATGGACACTTGGATTCCCAGTTGGACAAAGACATTTTGACTTGTGATATGGCGAGGAATAATAATGGAATGGACACAAAAAAATCAGATGAAAGTGAAAGTAGCATCTCTTAATATTAGAGTAGAGACTTCAAAACTGATTTTTAAAAAAGAGGTCAGCGGTCTTTGGGAACCTAAGAATTGAAAAATGTAACCTAAGGCAAGGACTACTATACTATGTAGTCCTTGACCTAAGGAAAAATACCGAGTTGACTCAGATTTTCTACTGATCAACAGACAGTGGGGTGGCGTTATTCACTACAGTGCAGATACGTATTACAGCAAGGGTATATGAACTCTTTTTAATCCACGGTTCAAGGAGCAAGATGTTAAACTAATTTTTCAAAGTGAAAGAGTAATAATTTCGTCAGCTGTTTTTGATAATAATAAACTGTCCATTGTAAATGTAATATGGTCCTTGCATAGAGACTGAAAAATTCGCTTTTTAAAACTTTCTAATGACTTAAATTGGGATCCACATATCCGAGGAGGAAAGAAGAATTATTTGTGTGGGAGATTTTAACATAGCTCTGAAGGCCGCAGATGTAATTGCCGGTGCAAACCATATAACCACTTGTCAATATCTTCAAACTTTGATCAGTACCTTGGGATTGACGGATGCGCGGAGAAAGCTTCATCCACTTGGTAAGTCTCACACTTGGAGTAGAGGTAATCCCATGTCGTTCTTTGTCGAGGAGTCTTTGGTGCCTTATATAATTAATTCAGAGATTACTAGTATAGGATTCAGTGATCACTGATTGGTATCCACCACTTTTGAATTTACTTTCTTTAGACTAGGAAAGGGAATATATAAACTGAACACTAGCGTCCTAAGAGATCCCGACTATTGTGATATAAAAACAGAAATCTTTGCTACTAAGAGAGAATACAAGGAACTGAACCCACATTTACAATGGGAAAAGATAAAGGTGAACATGAGAGAAGTGTCTCAACAGTATAGTAGATTCAAAGCGAGAGAAACAAGCCACCGAAGGGAAACATTATAAGCTAAACTGAACCTCTTTGAAAGCTATTTGGAATGCGATAATTACAACCATGATTATCTAACCAAACAAATTACTAAAAGTAAAAGTAAATTGGAGATAGAAGACTTGTATGGAACCAAAGGTGCCCAGAAAAAAAGGGCAAGGGTCAAATGGATAGAAAAAGGTGAGAAATGTACAAAATACTTTCTATCGTTGGGGAAGAACAGGTCCAACGCCAATACCATAAACGAGTCAAAAATGCACGTGGTGAGTGTCTAACAAATAAAATAGACATTTCAGAAGAAATAGGCTGCAATTTAAAGCTCTATACCATAGAAGTCAGAGCTCTAACGAACAGTGTCATAACTCATTCACGGACTTTGTCCATAATTTAGAACTTCATACATTGACAGAACCCGAGGCGGCTTTGTGTGATGATCCTATCTCGAGGGAGGAGGTCACAGCAGCCTTAAACTAAAGTCTATGAAAAATGGTTTGGCGCCTAGAACAGATGAACTGCCCATCGAGTACTATAAAGTATTTTGGCGACATCTGAAAGCTCCTCTAATGGAATGCTTCGACTTTAGCTTTAAAGAAAGCATTCTCCCTCTATCAGAGAGGTTTACTGTAATTATCCTTCCTTAGAGGAAAAGATCTGCTTACATACATACGTGGTAACAGGAGGCCAATCTCACTTACTAATGCTGACTACAAAATTTTGGAAAAAGAACTATCAATACGTCTAAACGCAGTTATTAATACACTAATTGGAGAACAGCACGTAGGTTTAATGAAAAGAAGGAATATCGCAACACTACATAGAGAAATAGATGATCTTTTGCAATATCAGAGAATCAACAAGAGATCTGGACTCTTATTAGCCATTGATTTTAAACAAGCTTTCGATTCGATTAAAATTCTCTATATTTTAGAAACGTTAGGAAAATTTGGATCTGGTCCATACTTTATAAAATGGATGAAATTTTTTAATACTGAAAAGCTAATATGCCTTAAGAACGGGGGTCATGTATTGGATACGTTCCAGATGACTAATGGAGCCAGACAGGGTTGCCCAATTTTTCCACAATTGTTCATTCTTGCTGTTGAACTTTTTGCTAAAAAATATATAATTCCCTTCATTAGAGGGTATAGTTACCGATCAAGGAGCAGAACCTCTAAACATTAGACAATACGAAGACGACACAACCTTATTGGGGGCTCTCGTGGCCTAGAGGTTAAGATGTTCGCCTCTCATTCAATGGGTCCCGGGTTCGACACCGGAGAGCGACGGAAATTTTTCTTCTCTAAAATGTCTCTTTTCACCTCCTTTCCAGCTTTCTAGCAATGTTTTGTCTTCCGCTTTCGTCTCCACTCTCTGCCCCCACCCCCTCACCTCCTTTGCGCCCTCCTCTGGGCCCCTGACTCTTTCTGTGGCCTTTCTATTGATTCTCCTTTGCTCTTTTTCCTGCTGTCTTTCATCCACACCCCTGATCTTCTGGTAGGCAAGATCTACACCTAGCCTTCTCGGACAAGGGCGAAAAATCTCGGAGGGTCCGCGTGCAAGTTGCGCACGTTAAAGATCCCTTGGTAGTCCAAGATCGACAAGAGTGGGCTTCGGCCGCCATTTACGGCAAAATTCAAAATTTCCTACCAACTGAAAATGTTTAATGTGTCCCGCGTGCTCATATGACCTTATGCAGTTGCGAGCGCCGTAAACCAATTAAAAAAAAATAATTTCCAACCTTATTCTTGAGTGACATTAGCGATTTGAAAGAAGCATTTAATCAGCTGTAAGAGCACTCAATTTTTTTTCTGGTCTACGCTTGAACCTAGACAAACCGTTTGCAATATGTACAAATGGGGAGCACATTGACACTGCAGGTATAGAATTACAGTTCACAGATTGAGCGAAAATTCTAAACTTGCACTTCAGCAATCATAAACCAACGGCAGAAATAGACCAAAGACCGACAAGGTAGACAATCTACTCAGAGCACTGGGAAGATGGCCACAGCGTGATCTAATATTTTCGGCAATTTGTATCTGTTAAAGACGCTTGGAATAACACAGTTCAACTTTATAATGCAAAGCATTACCTTACCAAACAATGTATTAGAACAAGTAAATAAGATATTTTTTAGGTTTTTGTGGAAAAAATGATTCAATAATAAAAAGCATATTTTTATGAAAGGTGAAAGGCAAGGTTCTGTGTAATGATTAAGAAAACGGGGGAATAAGGATGATTGACATATTTTGTTTCCAAGATTCAATACTTTCAGGGGCAGAAGCGCTCCTTAAACCGGGACAAAAACAAAAACAAAACAAAACAATGGAAGGGCATAGTCAAGTCTTTCTTTGGGGATCTTGGGGGGTTACACGTCTTTAGGAGTAAGGTCTCCGTAAAGAAGTTTAAGGGAATGAATGCCATCTCTAGTCCATTCTGGCGAGAGGTCCTCACAAAAATTAATGTTTACAGTATGCAGACAGTTGTTCACATGATATTCCACAAAGGAGTGACCCTCTTTTTAATAATACTCATAAAAAATATAGGAATAAGATAATCCTTCCTCCTTCCGGTGTAAAAAGAGGAATAATAATAGTAAATGATATAACGGTCGGAAGGCGAATTTTGAATCTAGATGAAGGTACACAAAGGTTTGGCCTATAGGGCCGTTGTGTTTTGGACTACAACATATTAATAAATGCAATAAAAAACTGTCTTGGGTATCACATCCAGAGCTATTAAAGTACTTTTAAAAAGGTGCTTAAGAACAAATTTTAGTTTTATCTAAAAATGTACTTAAGTAGGCCTACAGTTTAAGTACCTTTCTCTAAAATGTACTTTTAAAAACGTACTTATGAGTACATTTTGAGTATTTTCTGCTGATATGCTAAAACACTTCAGTGCTAATGCAAAACATCATATTGAATAACAGATCCAGTATTTTTGACAAATTAGGCCATTTATTACTTAAAATGTAAACAGTATACAAAGCATTTGAATAGGCTATACTATGTACGCACTAAACGTTGGTGGAAATGGTCCGTGAAATTGAAAAACAAAACAACAACAACAAACAAACAGTGAGTAAGTAATATAATGAATAGAACTTGCTTGAGCAAGACAATGTGATCAAATGTAAGTCAGTCCAAGAGGTCGGAAAGTTCTTCAGGAAAAGTATCCAAATTGGAAAACGTAGAGGCAAGGGGAGGGGTGGTGAGAGTGAGGAGAGCTTTTGTTTTCACTTTCAGAACATGATTTTAAAAAAAAAGGCTACAATCCTGTTATACCATGCCGGTATGTATGTGTGAAGAACGACGAGAGCAGTGTAAGTGTTTTATTATAAATTATTTATTTCATTTATCCCACAGAGGTGTAGATAAGGCGCTGTATATTTCGGCATACAAAAGATCACGAGTCTCATTAGATATAACCCCTCCCACTGCACACTCCCACAGAGGTGTAGATAAGGCGCTGTATATTTCGGCATACAAAAGATCACGAGTCTCATTAGATATAACCCCTCCCACTGCACACTCCCACAGAGGTGTAGATAAGGCGCTGTATATTTCGGCATACAAAAGATCACGAGTCTCATTAGATATAACCCCTCCCACTGCACACTCTCAGTATAAGGACAGGATAAACTGCCAAATGCATATTTTGCCCAAGCACTCAGTTTCCTTCAATATTATGATAGAGTAGGGTTAGGACAATACATATACACCAATTTTTGTACAGTATAATCCACATGAAAGACGTTAGTCACAAAAAACATGCGATTCGGGGGGGGGGGGGGGGGGGGGTTATTCCATAAAAAATGGACTAGTGGTTTAAACAGGATATCTCAATAAGGAAATAAGCTACTGCTTTGATATTTGTGTATACATTGTACATTTTAGTACTGATAAGACTGAACCCTTCAAATTCGTGATAGGTCTATAAGTTTTCGTTTTAGATGCCAGATCCTTATGCATCATATTGTTTTAAAAAAAGTAGGGGGATAGGTGTGGAATTCTATATACATTTTACATGGGAACACAGTTACAGACTGTTTGAAAGGTTCAATTTGATACAGATAGTCTTGAGAACAATCATGCCAAGTTTCAAAGATATTGAACCAAAACGTTTTGAGATATTCTGGTCAAACTGTAGGAGAATGCGCGAAAAATGAATTTTTGAGAAAACGGCAAAAATAAGACAAAATAAGACAAAATTTGCCAGTATTTTGTAATGACCTTCTTTGGAAGCCCCCAGCTTGATATGACTCCTCTCCACTATCCTCCCCAGCTGCCTGGATCCTCTTTTCAGCTCTCTTCATCTTCTTTTCTGCTGTTGCCTCCTTCTGAGCAGCTTGAAGTTTTAGATAATCCAGTTTACGAAAACCGGAATATTGATGTTCCCCCACTGGTAACCCTAACTTTTCAAAAACTGCAAATCTCCCTATTTCTCCCTCATTGGACACTATTGTGGCATCACTAAACGGCTATCTCTAACCTATCCCTACCATAAAATGTTACTTTTGGACATCTTTCCCAAAGTAAATGGTGAAACGATTCATTGACATTTTGGGTCCTCCGTGTAAACATTTCCGCAGCAATATATTACTCGATAAGTCTTCAAAGACTGGCTTTATTTCACTCATAACATATTCCGGAAGCACATTTTTGTCAGAACGATCACACCAGTCCCCACATTCTTCATGATTTCCATTTCAATGATGCCAAATAGCCCAAACGGATTTCCGCATTTTCTCTAAATCTCCTTAATTCTTACTGATAGCCCCACCATAATGTCCTTGGATTCTCTTGATAGCTACTTTTGTTAACTTTCCAGCACCCCCAATCCCTTTCATTTTCTTCTACGCTACCTGATATACCTTGTTTTTACACTGAGTCACTTTGTCTAACAATCTCTTTCCCATCCTCTTCTGCACGTCCCACAACATTCTAATTTTTCAAGTTCGATGTCTTCGTAAATTGGAGGATTAGCCCCAGCTAGAATCTTAAAACTTTTTGAATCCCCATCCCCTAAATACCTAGCATACTTCAGCTCATACTGCTCCTCTGATCTTCTAAAAATCTTATAAATTCCAGCTGGTTCCACGCTCCCAGCAGATCCAGTATGGTTTTTTTTACAGTCTTTCTCATGGTTTATTTTCCACCCCTCTAGATCACCCCCGTTTTTTCGCGCCTCCATCTTTCCACACCTGTCGCAGTAGTTAGTCAAAACTTCTGTATCTAAAACTTTGAATGGTCCTTTTGCTGCTAATTGATAAACAAGTTGATACCCCATTCTTACTAGAAAACCACCTCCTTTGCCAAGTCCCATCACATACCACAGTCACACTATCTCCCTCTGCGGACTTCAGTTCCTCTGCTGCACTCTTCTTACTTTCCCTTGCAAAGTCTGTTGTAGCCTTCACTAACGTATCTCTAAAAATACTAGACCTAACAGAAGAAACTGATGGTGGAAGATCCATTGAAGCTAAAACCCCCCACCCTTTCCTATTGTGACACTCAATCGAATACATAGCCATCTGAAACCGAAGGTTCAGGTTTTCTTTCGTCTTCAGTGATGGCATACTATGTTTACAAAAATTGCACACCACTGTCATTTCAGACTCTATTCCTTTCAGTTTCTCTGTCACTGAAAATGTATTTTTTCCCAACTCTGGTGAACAGAAGCATGAAGGGCAAGGGAACAAATTGAAAAAACTTTCTAAATCCTCCTGCCTAAACAGTCTCAGTCCTTTCCATCTTGCACTACAGTCCCCAGCACCACTACTCCGCCCAACTCCTGACTCTCTTTCAGATCGTAGCTTCATAAATGAAGCAGACATGACATTTGTGGCTTCACTTCCCGTGTCTTACACACACACATACATACACACACACAATTATATATATATATATATATATATATATATATATATATATATATATATATATATATATATATATATATATATATATATATATATATATATAATAATAAATATAAACGTGTTTTTTTTTTAAAGTTTTGATCCTGAAAGGGGAAAGCATGCGACAATAACAACAGCAACATGGCACTCGTGGGTACCTCACCATCCCTTGACCAAATGTGACTCTACAGAAATAATACACCACCTCAAACTACGGTCTAGTGGATCCCAGCTAGCTAGGTCAGTGCGAGATCCTCAGCAACGATCTCGCTGACAATAATGCCAAAACATGCAACAGCGCTGCTCGGCCCAGGCCGCCAAAATTGCATTTTATGGAAGTGCGTGCGCCCAGATAGAACTGATTACAAAAGACACTCCGATATCCCACACGTGGACGAATACAAAAGGCAATATCCTTAAAACAAGAGGCACAAATTAAGTCCCGCGACGACCAGAAACTACTGGCAAAAATCAGGACTGGTGATTTCTCTGGGCTTCGGGCCTAGAAAAACAAATTAGACAAAACATCGGACCCAATCTGTCCATTGTGCAGCAAGGAGCTCCAAGATTTGGAGCACTGGCTGCAGAGATGCCCTGCTCTGGTGGTCCGGCGTGGCATCTCTTTCGGGAGGATTCAGGGAGGTTGGACTGCATCACACGCCACACAAGAGAAGCGGTGGCTCTGGCGAAGAGCACGCTCTTCGGGGCTCCAAACATTTTGAACGGATAGGTTACCACACACACAAGAACAAGAACAAGAACAAGAACTAGAACAATAACAACAACAACAACAACAACAACGACAAACAACAACAAAAACAACAGTAAGAACAGATGACGACAACAACAACAATAACCAGAAAAAAACTAAAACCCCAAAAACGACAACAACCGCAAAAACAAAGACAACAACAACAACGAATGACAACAACGCCGACGACAATAACAAGAACACCACCACCACACCACCACCACCAACAACGAAAAACAACAACAACAACAACAACAACAACAACAACAACAACAACAACAACAACAACAACAAAAGTACTGTCGCAAAGTTATGATTGTGATTTTCGTCCATTAAAACCTGTCTTGACGCAAAGTGGATATGATTTTTCTTCTGTTTGCATGTTTTACCGCAAAGAGGATACATACATCCTATTAATGTTACAATCTCAACAATAATAGAACAACAACAGCAACAACAACAACAAGAACAACAACAACAACAACAACAACAACAACAACAACAGCAAAAACAAACCAAAACAAAGCAAAAACAAAACAAAAAACCCTCACACAGACCTGGTTGGTTTCCAGCCAGAGCCGGATCTTATTTCTCCCGGTGGCCCTGATGGCCTTGATCACATCCTGGTACTCCGGCTCGTCCTGAATGACCGCTGGGACCATGTCCTTTTGGCACGCAGTCTGACGCTCCGAGTACTTGTATTTCTTCACGGTCGCCCAGTAGGTGTTGCCGGCGGTGGTTATTTCGTAGAAGTCATTGCTATCGACAACGCAGTGGCCATATTCCGATGTCAGAACTATAAGGAAGGG